ATGTATAATGGAAATAATTAACCCCTAAATAAACAGCATTTCCTTTACTAAATGGTGTTTTCACATTGTGAATGCATTTGATAGAGAAATGTCTTGTATCCTTATTTCCAAAAAGCTTCTCCTTATTGGCTTCTGTGATCCTTAGATAGGATTTCTATTGTAGGGGAAAATACCACAAGATAGAGAAACCACTCTGTGGAAAAGGTTCAATCCTAGGCAATATAGTTGATCTGCCACCAGAGGCTGAATTGTCAAGATATAATAGATTGAGAAGTGAAATTGATTGTTGTGAGCTCAATAGATAAAGTCCAGAACCAAGAAAACAGAGGTTCCAGAAGCAAGTGCTACCCTTGGTGGGGGGGCACAAAGGAAATGTCTGTCTGAATGTATGTATCGTGTTAAGAAAACCAAAGTAGAGTAGATACTATCTCAAGAAGGTAGAAACAGAAAAACCTTGTCCCTGGATAGCAGCTGCCGGGAATTAGTCCAGAACTGGGCCCCACTGCAACAAAGGCAGTGAAAAGGTATGATTGTACGATTAGTTGTTATCAAGATCAAACCCAACATGGTGCCATCTGTTCTATTTCACCACATATATGGAAAACCCACATATGTAAGCAGAAGGATACACAGACTGATTACTGATCTCTAGAAGGCTTCAGATAGATACAAGTTTGAGTAACATTGGGGGAAGAGTGATGTCCAGGGACTTGTGGGATCAACTAAGCCACCACAACCATGATAGATGAAAAAAAAACAGCATATCTCTAGAGATAAATGCATTGACAGGACAAAAACCACTGAGGAAGACATGTAATGGGCACATCCAAGTACAAGGGACCCATGACAGGAGAGTGTCCTCATAAAAGGACTTTTGAAGGTAAGGGAAAGGAGACATGAGAGCACTGGTTTCAAAAGCTTTATGTCACAAAGAAGTCTACTGAACCTGTTTGAAATACAAAGTGAGAGAGAACACCAAGTGAATGAAATATGGAATGGGATTTGAGACTGAAATGGAGAGCCAAACAATGAACCCCAAACAAGATGATTCCAGGGTTTGAAATTGGTACCAGTACTGCTGGTACGTGGTAGTAGTACTGGTACTGGTTTACAAAACATCATATGTTGAGAATAATATCTGTTTTCACATGTTCCATCTTTGGAGTTTTGACTGAAGGCCTCCTCTGGTATTTCAGCTTCGCTTTTGACAGAATTATAAATGCTTGATGTGGTAGTTTTGAGTTCATACTTCAATCAATAAATGAATCTTACCGTGAAAATCAGCAACAGCATGAAATATGGGAAACTGGCAAATCCCATGCTCTGGAAGAGAAAGTGAATATATCTATGTAACTGATTGCAGTAGGTGCGTGCATAAGTAACCCTTAGGATGCAGGCAGGTCAAACTGTATATGTCACGACATTTTAGTGAGTTACATTCAAAATTTAATTAAACTACTTAATTATCATGATATACAAACAAACTTGACATCAAACCATAGGTAATAAATCAAATTTTAATATTATGAAAGTTGTAAGTTTTAATTGTATAAGGAAATATTCAAAAACAACATCAAATTCCCCTAGTGTGAGAATTTGGATATTTGTTCCTGAGCCATCTCCTCTTCCGGGTTTTTTGTCCACCCACTAGAAAACTACAAAATGTAACGTAAGATATTCTCTATAATTTCATTATCAATATTCTGAAGCTATATTTTGATATTATTCAATCTTATGGGACTAAAGAACAATCAATAAAAACACTTTCCACACACATCTCTGACATGCTCTAATTTACAATTTGCTAATAGATTTTTCTGAGGCAGACTCCCATTAAATTTATAACCAATAGAAAGCCTAGATTTCAATTGATTCATTGCCATAGTCATCATATCAAGTGGGCTGACAGATAATTGACAATTCGGTTTGATGTTAAAAAGTATTTTCCCATAAGAACACACTGGGAAGAATAGTTGAATTTCTAACTCCTCAAGTCACATCATTAGAGATTCTCAAGTACCGGTACTGGCAACCCAGTGCTGCCAGTACTACTGCAAACCCTAGATGATTCCGAAAGGAGAAAGGAAGTTGCAACAAAAATACCATGTTGTAAGGGGTTGTAGAGGCCAAACACCCATAGAGTAGTGGAACAATATGCCTCAAGTATGTAACCTCTAAGTTTACTCCACTCACATTCATAAATCAAACATATAAACATATGTAAAAATGCCACACCTCTGATAATAGTCTGCATGTTAAAACCCTTATTAAATGTGTGATTAACATAAAGAGATCATAGTTTTGGTCATAAGAATATACAACAGTATCTAGGAAACTTGGCATCAGTAAGTATTACATTAGTTTTCTGACGAGATGAGTAAGATAGGGTTTTATCTACAAAATTCAACTGGGGCATTTTTTTTTGTTTTTGTGTATGTGTATGCCTGACTATGACAACTGTTCTGAATTTTTATTTTGTGAATGGGCCAAACATCAATCTTTGAAGAGGACTAGATGAAACCCTGTGAAGTGTATGAATTGGTTTCGAATTCCATGCAAAGCTACACAAGGGCTATCTGTGCTAGTAATCCCTAATTTAGTAATAATAGACTAGAAGGAAGACAGCTAGTCAACACTACCCACCATTAACTCTTGGGCTGATCTTTTACAAACAAATAGCAGGACTGACCATCACATTATAACACCCCCACAGGAGAAAGGCTGACCATGTTTGTTGTGAACTCATGACTACAGATTGTGAGTCAAGCACTCTAACCACCAGGCCATGTGATATATATGGAAACATTCAATCTTGATAACAGTACAGTTAGAATACAGTCAGTGAAAAAATGTGTGCACATTGGTTCAATGCAGATAATTCTTGTATTGGTCATTTCTTTTTTTAAACTATTAGAAATCACAACCACTACAGTTAACATCAACAAATCAAATTTTTCTATGCAACGTTTTAAAGGACAAGTATTTATTATGACAACTTATCCATTAATGAAATAAAATTCACAAAATTCTCTAAGGGTACTTCCTATCAGTGATGCTCTTATGACATCCACTTTCTCATTTTTTTGTTAGATACAAAAGAAATTATTGCCCTTTCAGGTCAGTCACTGTATTCTCTGAACATATTCTACAGTCACATGAAATATCATGTAACTTTACCTATCCATATTTCTGTTAAAAAGAAAATGTTTCAGACATACCATCACAAACATTGTTCCATAAGTTAATTCTAGGATTTTTTTATTTTGTTCTGGTGACAGTGCGCCAAGATGCAAATACAAATGACTGTGCAAATAGAGAAAGAGCTTGCTAAATGTTTGCAATTATTAGAAAGAACTGGCTTAGAAAAATATATAACCGCAACTGTCATCATACAATATTTTAGTCTCGAGTTTCATCGAATATGTTCTGTATGTTCTAAACCATACGTGCATTGAACCTGATTATATTCTTAATTTCATATGCTGGTGTATACGAACAGAGGCTAAAAATTGTAATTCTATATACATTATTATTTAATGTTACAGGTGATTAAACATATATTTGATCAAAAAGAACCACTATTAAAGGTCCTCTATCAAAAACTAATTATCATAAACTTGTATCAAGAGCATAAGTTTAAATCTTGAGAAAGATACATTAGGCTCCAGTTAAAACATTTTTAGTTTTCTAAAAGGGTAATTGACTTAAGGAATGAGTTGCTATAGCAGTAGTGGAGGTCAACATTTTTCAGGTGTTTAAGATGGGAATGAATGTTTCCCTAAAAAGTAAAGGGTTGGTTTAAATTTCTACTTTTCTTAAGGGTTGGTGTGAAAGAGTAGCTTTAAAAGGTCCAAATTACTTCTTACTCTCCATAATTGGTTAAATTAAATATGCTAAAATTCTACAATAATAATTACACAATTATAATAAAATCTCAATTATAAGTAACAAGCACAGTTCAAAAACACTTCTATTATAACTCTGCTCTATGTCATAATTTGGATATCCTCGCTGCTAGTACTATTAGTGTTTTTAGCCCTAACCCCAATAACACCTGATGAGGTTGGGTATGCTCAGTGATATTACCAAGGCACAAAACAAAATGGTCACATGTAAAGCTACTTGTACCATATGCTTATCACATTTGGCCAATGTAATTATTATTATTATTTAAGAAATTAACTGTTATATATTCATCTAACTAATACTATAAATAACTAAAATACATATTGAATTATTTATTTATATTTAGTTATTATAACTTAAGGAAACACGTACATACTTGCCAGATTTAGTGTAGCAAATTCCTTATATTTATTCCATTATTATTGGTTAACTATTGTATGTATTACTACTAATACTAGTACTTACTACTTTAAACAGACTAAGTACTGTTACTGTTGCACATAAATGTGTGAAAACCCACATTTACACTACACTTATTGTTAATGTTCCAATACAAATTACTGTTGAAATAATTCATTTTTAAATTTCATATTTTTTTTATATAATCTTAAGTTAGACCACATTTCAGAAACCAAATTTCCTATTAAGTAAGTATTATTAATAAAAGATTAATAACTAAGCTAATGAAACATCATCAATATGGACATTTGCAACAAACTTTTACCGTTTGTTAATTTATGTATAGCTAAAGCCTATCTTAGATCGCAGACTCTATAGTGTATTGTAAACTAAGTTTAAACGTAAGCATACAAACAGAGGTACAACCTAAAAGCAAAACTATTTTGTCTTAATTTTTTCTTTTGAATTAGACTGTTAGGGTTAGCACGACTCTGAACTGAAGCATTGAATGTCTCATTCTGTACTTCTGTCACATAAATAATTGCAATTTATTATGTTTACCTTTTCCAATAATTTGGCCTGGTCACTTGCCATTGCATTTCGGGGTTTCAGAAGGGTTTTTTTTTCCTTCAAGAGTGGACCTCAATAATATTCATCTTTTGAAAATTACATTGTAACCAACGATAACAAGTTTTTCCATCAGTTCAAATCCGCCACCGTTGACAACTTCAACCATGACGCCCTCTCTAAAAATGTTTTGATTTTTTAATTAAATAAATATATTTACCAGTACTTCTGGCTTTCAACGTTTGCTGAATGTACTTGTCAGTAATTTTGTCTTTTGTCTTGTGAAAAAATGTGCTTAAAATTGAACTATGTAGCTGATCATCTAAGAACTTATGCATTTGTACAGCGAAAACAATTAACTTTTGACCTTTAAAACTTCAAATTATCACAGTAGTAGATAAATCTCAATCAAATGATTCCATATCTCGAAAAAACTCTGCGTTAAACAAAATAATGAAAAGATAAAACAGTAACAGGATGTTGAACACAAGTAATTACTTTATTCAACATTTTCTATTTCTAGGTATAAAGTATTGGCTTGATAAATATTTTATTGGCCATTGTGTAGATAACCAGTTCTCAATATTCTTTCAAATATTATAAGAAATTAAAACTGAGATGCTATTATTTCTTATTGAAAATTTTATCACACGACCACCAGACACATTTTGCAAGAAACTGCGTAATTTTTGTTTTTTTCGTAGTGATCTGAAAATTATTTCATTTACCTTCTTAGTAAGAATGTAATAATAAAGTGACTGTCACATTCTCTGAAATATCATAAATTAGTGACTTTTTATTATTGTTTGTTTGTTTTTGAATTTCGCACAAAGCTACACGAGGGCTATCTGCACTAGCCGTCCTTAATTTAGCACCACCTCCAATTCTTGGGCTACTCTTTTACCAACTGTAATATTATAATGCCCACGGCTGAAAGGGCAAGCATGTTGGGTGTGACGGGGATTCGAACACGCGACCCTCAGATTGCGAGTCGAGCGCCCTAACCACCTGGCCATACCGGACCCCTTTTATTATTCGTCAAGAGCTAATAATTTGCAGAAAGGTATAAATGGAAAACATTAGTAAATTTCAAAACGAATTAAATACATTAAAGGATTATTTATTATCTTTTACACAAGGATGATACATTAACCATCGACTTCATCGGAAATAAATTATACGGAAAATTAATCAACGAACAGAGACGTAACAATAATCTTAAACACCTCAAACAAATCCCCTCTGACCCTTCTGCTCTCAAGAGAAAACAAGATTAGAGATTTTAGTCTCTCCTCATAGGACAATCCCAGGTATATTCCTAGTGGTTCTTCTCTGAACCTTCTCCAAAAATGCAATGTTAATCTTATACAAGTATCAAATATAGGTTGAAGCGCTGTTCACTGTAAAAACGTACATAGAGTGCAACTCTTGTTAATCTTTCATTGAAATATTATTATTTTATTAGTCGTGAAACAATATTTCTTGCGGCAAAACTCCCTTTGGCAAATATGTTACTAATATGGTGTTTATATTGTTAAAATATAACTTAAAATCTTCAACCTGTTTTCTTATTTGACGGTTGTTAGAAGATGGAAAGGTAGTTCAATGACTTTTCTTATACTATTAAAAGAATGTCCTAAAAGTAAAACTAAGGTTGAAAAAGAGACTTTCCTTTTACACGTGAGAAACTGCGTTATTTTTGTGGTGCTTTGGGAATTACGCTATTATTTCTTGTTCCAGTTGTCACTGCTGTAGTCTCTCTTCTTGTTTATGTTCTCGTTCTTCTTGTTTCTTTTCTTTTTCCTCCAACAGCTGTTGTAATCTCTTTTGTTTATTTTGCTGTTCGAGCTGCCACTGTTGCAGGTTTTCTTGCCACTGCTGTTGTCTCTCTTCTTGTTTCTTTTCTCGTTCTTCTTGTTTCTTTTATTTTTCCTCCAAAAACTGCTGTAATCTCTCTTCTTGTTTATTTTCTCGTTCTTCTAGTTTCTTTTATTTTTCCTCCAACAACTGCTGTAATCTCTCTTCTTGTTTCTTTTGCTGTTCTTGTATTGCTGCCATCAAATCTGCTAAGCTGTAGTTTGGTTTGCCACTTCTCATTTCTATTTTCTTTTTTTTTTTCCATCCCACT